AAAAAAAAAAAAAAAAAAAAAAACCGATTTAATGAGACGAAAAATTTCACTTAAGCCATTTTAACATAGAGGCTTTATCCCTTATTTAAAATACGCTTAGGAACAATGTTCTGCGATTCCTGGAAGTCGAGATATTTAGTTTCTCAAAACCGACAAAATTTGCAGATTTTTAAGTACTCCCTTAACTTTTTTGCATTAGTTTGTATAAAACGCGTGCAGCAGTCTCGATTTATTAAAAATTCGATAGATCAATTAGATAATTACTGATTGACTATTGACGCTCTAACATATTTATTTAATAACAAGTCTATGCAGTGGATATCCTTTATAGTGTAGTAAAACAGTTAAAATATATATATATATACACGCGTGTAAATGTAGCATAATTTTAACGCTTAACAAATGACCTTTGTCGTAGCGTGTTCCGGGCCAGGTTACAGGAGCCCGAAGGCGGCGATGGTCGAGGGACCGCGAGAGAAACTTTTGTACGTCGTTGGTATACACACGAACCCTGAGAAGGCCGATATCCTCTGCACGGTGGATGTGGATCCCGATAGTCCGACTTACTGTCAGGTATTAAGTACCTTCATGCATGTTAAAACGTTATCGTTAGATTATAATTACTGGTAGTTGTAATACATTTAAACGTATACGAGACTTGGAAACGCAGATAATACACAAACTGAGAATGCTAACGGCTGGTGACGAGTTACATCATTCTGGCTGGAACATTTGTAGCAGCTGTCACGGATCGTCCCGTAAACGCGATACGCTGGTGTTGCCATGTCTTATGTCGGATCGAGTGTATCTGGTTGATACCAGTAATGAGAAAATGCCTAGAATCAAGAAGGTACGAGAGATCGCGTGCGTGTACCTATATTCTCTTTCCATATATACGCGTGTATATATACTATACATACTTATATATGTATATTGTACATACATGCATATATAGCAAATTCGATACAAGAGATCGACATTGTATTTCTTGCCAAAGTAATGGCTTCTGCAGTCAGAACGCGGCAACGCTTGCCGCGCGATCGACGTCTCGCCGGCAAGACGTTGCCCCGTGGCAAGCGTTTCCGCGTTCTGTTTGCAGAAGACATAATTTTTATGTCGTGAGGTTCTGGAACCGGAAGAGATGCACAAACACGGGATATCTACACCGCATACTTCCCACTGTCTGCCAAATGGCGAGATAATCGTCTCCACCATGGGAAATCTCAATGGTGATGGATTGGGTGAATTTTTCTGCATCGACGCAGAGACTCTACGAACGAAAGGCACATGGACCAAGAGCCACGAGAAAGCAGCTTTCGGATATGATTTTTGGTACCAACCGTATCACGATACGCTTATCGCTACAGAATGGGGTGCACCTAGAGTTTTTAAGAAGGGATACATTCCAAAGGATATTCATGACCCCAGTAAATATTTATCCAAGGATAAATTGTGTCACACGAAATATCGATAATCATGAAATGATTGATAATTTGCAGAAATCTATGGCAGAAGTTTGAACGTTTACTCGTGGAACGAACGTAAACTGAAACAGACAATTAATCTGGGAGATGATGGAATCGCACCCCTTGAAATAAGATTCCTTCATGATCCATTGGCAGCTGAAGGATTCGTCGGTTGCGCAGTAACGTCGAATATTTATCGATTTTATAAAGCGGAAGACAATTCGTGGGAGGTCGAAAAGGTGATACAGATACCACCGAAAAGAGTCGAGGGATGGATCATGCCTCTGATGTCAGGTATATTGTCAGAATTGAGCATGTAATACTTTTATTTGAAACATAGTTTCGCATTAAAAGTAGATTTTATATTTCAGCGGTGTACATGAAAGTATTTAAAATTAAAAGGTTGAAAACTTTATGTATTTCGTAATTTAAATATAATAATATTAATCGTCACAATCTTAGTATTTAAAATACTTACAATCTTTAATGAAAGATATTAAAAATGCAAAATATTTTCATGTACTCTACTGAAATACACGATACAATATTCTTACAAATACCGTTTTTAAATAAAAGTATTTTAAATACATACCCCGGGTGTTGTATGAATCGCTTATTCTTTTTTCAAAATTTGAACGAGGTCTGTAATATCGGAAATTTCCAGTAGAAACTCCGTCATCGACGATAACATGCCGATGTTGTTCAGTATCACAGAGGTTTGTTTCTGTTCTTCTCCCTCTCATAAAGGCCTTTCTCCACTTCTTGTTAGGTATGATCACTGATATTCTGCTGAGTCTGGACGACAAGTACCTGTATCTGTCTAATTGGTTACATGGCGATGTTAGACAATATGACATTTCTGATACGAGAAATCCGAAATTAACGGGTCAAGTCTTCTTGGGAGGCTCGATACTGAGCGATTCGCAGGTACGTGTGATGCTAGACAAAGAAATAAGCAATCAGCCCGACCCCGTCTACGTGAAGGGACGTAGATTATATGGTGCACCGCAAATGTTACAACTAAGTTTGGACGGACGTCGTTTATACATAACTACGTCGATCTTTAAACCATGGGACAAACAGTTTTATCCCGAGCTCTTCAAGTAAGTACTATTTTTTCCTCTTCTCTTTTTCTTACTATAAAATCGATAAAAGAACAACGTTTATAATGTTACGCTGAATAATATTGCGCGCGTTATTTAGATATGGATCGACAATGGTAAAACTTGATATCGACGTAGAGAAGGGCGGAATGAAGCTCGATCGACAATTTCTTGTTGATTTCGGTGCTGATAAAAGCGATATTTTACTAGCACACGAGATGAGGTAAGAGACGGGATATCCCCGTAACTCCATGTTACCTCCATAAAAAGTCTCATTTATTCTTTTAATTTTCTAAAGAAATGAATAAATTAAAAGAAGATGGAATTTCTCTTTGTCAAAAGATAAAATCTCGTAATCTTTTTAGCTCTTTTTTTCTTTTTACTTTTTATTTTGATTCTCATTTCGACATATTTTATAAATCAAATTACTGCCAATTTCTTTTAATTTCAATTAATTATAGAAAGGATATTACATTATTATCTCTTGCAACAATTTCAACGTGTTAATCTTTGCGTAGATATCCTGGTGGAGATTGTACCTCTGATATATGGCTGGCAGAGAAACCCTAACTATAATGACTTTAATTGGAGTAAGGTCAAAGACATTCCAAAACATCTGTGAAAGCAATAGTAATGCAGTAGCTTATTTTATAGCATCACACACATGATTTTTTTCCTAATAAAATCTCTCGGATCTTTCTCATCTCTAGCTAGAAAATTATTCAGAAATGTTCTTTCAATAAAGATAAGAAATATGGGTGAAGGGGGTAAATTAATAAAAAGAGTATTCTCGTTTGTTTCCATGGTATGGTGCTTATTAATTCCAGCATATTGCATCAAGTAATATAGTAGAGATTTGATATTGTATGAAAAATTAATGGTGTTATACATATGGTAGGTAATAAGTTTTTTTCTCCGAGTTTACACAAATAAAATCCGTCTATGCCAAAATTGTAATTGTTCGTTGTGTAAAATTTGTCGAAATGTTAGAAATAATTCGAAGGTGTATAAGCCACGTATAAAATTTCATTGCGCTTCCATAAAGGATCGCCGATTTTATTTTTGTTTTCGTAACAAAATCTCGTATGATCTACAATACCCAAGGACTTACATAAAATTAAATTTGCACAATTATCTTATAAAGTTCCAAAATTCGTGATGAACGTTTTAAGAAGAAACGAGTCCTCGTCATTACTTTTGCGTTATATGGTATGTGAGAAAATACTTATCACACACGCGACAGTATTCTTTAAGTATTAAAAAGAAAAAAAATAATAATAATTGGGCGAACTATGCGACGCCAGAGAGGACATAGGTGTATCGAATGTTGATTACGAAGCTAATGAATTTCTTCCTTCGTCCCCGGATTGTCTGATGCTAACGCCACAAAACTCAAACCGAGAACTCAAAAGTCGACGCGGTAAACTTTGAAAGCTACACGTGTACTCACTATAGAAATAATTTTTTCCCGTTAATCGGCAATAAGTTGCGAGATTATACACGAAATCATTAAATTTTTTAAATACGTACGCACGCACGCGCGTCTAAATATGTATGTATGCGCCGAGTATGCGTTCAATTACGTATAACCCAATAATACATCAGACATCTTTTAATCTCTGTTGAACTGAGTTTTCTCATTTTTCATCTGTTTTTTTTTCATCTCTGTTAAAAAATAATGCTGCAATGGGATACGTGCTCTGTCTACGTAATCTCGGATTCTAAATTAATCATCAAGTGTGCTCGCGCGTATACACCGTACGTATATTCTAGAGTTACATCGGTGCAAATATCGATTTAGATATCGATTGAAACGTCAGGTATTCTCTTCCTGACACGATGGTATTACACGACGGCAAGTTCGTGCAACTCGTATTAGCCATCATACGGTAAATGTTGACAGTGCGACTATTTATCGCAACGACCGTTATTATATCGAGATCTTCTTCGTCGGACTTGCCATCAATATCGTCAGCCAAACGCTTCTCGCGACTACACCGTTAGCGTAAGAATAGTACATACGCCGATTCTACATTTCTCTCAAAAATTCGTGGCTCTTCCAAAAGAATACCATCTGTCCGCATTCGCTCGAGACTGGATATGTTCGTGATTCTCGCTTCCTCTAAAAGAAAAGGGTGGGAGAGAGCAGAAGGAAGAGAAGACATTCCTTATCTCCAAGTGTAACAGATCGTAGCCTCGTTTTTGAGACAATTATAGAATCGGCGCAGTGGGTTCTCAATTGTCGCGTTGAAAAGATCGATCCACGATCGAGCTATGAAACCGACATGTTTTCCAGATGACGTTTCTGCCGGATACTCCACCACAGCTGGTTATTCGAGCGGAGTGTTTTGCCTCCTACGGCGACGTAGGGCGACGTAGGGCGACGTATGGTACGACGGTACGAAATTGAGTACCGTGTGAGACGAGTGTCGAGCCATCGGGGCGCGCGAACGCCAGCCGTCGTCCGTTCAGACCCACGGTGTCCAGCCTTCGTACAACAAGGCCAGATTATCGTTGCTCTGCGCTTCACGTATCACATATTCCACCTGTTCGGCCGTGGTATACTTGCGTGACGGTTGCGGATCGCGGCCTTCTAGCTTCATACGTACGCGACGCCACACGTTCAGCGCGTAGGCGTTCCGTTCTTGCACGGCTAAAATAACGGCGAAAGAAAGAGAAAATGGAAGAGAATTATTACACGTGTATGTCACGTTGTGTTATAGTATAAGTGATCTTTGGAAGTCGATCGAGAACAGAGACTACCTACCCTTGCCCGTGGTCGGATCTCTGGCCAACGGTGTCCCTTTCCTTGGACTCAAGCATACATTGTTCTGCCGCATCAGCTTACCCTTCTTCCTCTTCTTTCTCTTCCTCGGTAGATTACCCGCTGCTGCAGGCTTCCCCGTGCCTTTCGTCGAATTCAACTTCCGCTCACTCGCAAACTCTAACAATCGATTGTACAGACTGGGCACTTTGATCGCCATCGCCTCCAATTCTTCCTTCATCGCCATGCCGCGAGGAGAGTCGAAATTCTCAGCTTCCAGTTCCTTCACTACCGCCGAAATATTCTCCGTAAAAGACCGATAGACAAACAGAAAATCCTGCAGACCGTCGATATTCTCCTGCTTGGCCATTGTCTTTAGCAACGCTCTGACATCCGACATCAATCGATGATGCTCGGCGAGTACGTTCTGCAGATTCATCACTCGCTCCCTCAAATAGTCTTCGGCCGTGAAGAGAGCCTCTTGTTTCTCCTGCAGTTTCTTCTGAGTGTCGATTATCGCCTCGGATACCATTTTCTCGGCCTGCTTTAACCATGTGGCATCCACTTGATTGTTCTCCAACTGCAGCAGCTGTACAAGGCTCTCCTCTATCATGGTAACGGTAATGTTCAGGTTGACCGTCAATAGGCAACTCTCCTCCCAGTGCTTGATCAATTTGACTAAGTTGGTATCGTGCGTCACGCTCTCCGACGTCCTGGTTCTCAGGGCCTCATAGTGCAGTATGGAATTGCACGTGTTCACTACCATCGCGGCTAAATTGTGTTGTCTAGTCAATTTATCGCACGATGATAATACCGCGTTGTCGAACGCGGACATGACTTCGCCCAGTGCTGGATTGGCACCGGCAGCCCATTTGAGACGTTGTACAGCACTCGAAATGAGATTCTGTTGTTGTTCGCGTGCCTCGCACACTCGCGACTGTAAGTTTGATAATTTCGCTGCTTTTTTTCGTAACTCGAGCATGAAGGTGGAACGATCTAAAAGAAACAGGAAAATTATTTGGTTGAAACTTAAAAGAGGTTAAAAGACAGATGTAATTAATTTTAATTCGTTCGCGAGAGGTTCTTTGATTAAAACTCGTAGATATAAGGCGACATAGCGTAATCGATCGATTAAAGGACTTACTCAAACGATTGATAGGATGCATCGGATGCATCGGATTCATTGGATTCATATTGGGTCTCATCATTAGAACATCTTCGTGTAACCAATGATAAGCTGTCTGTTGAAGTTGAAGTCTCTGAAGACTGATCCTGGCTACCTTGGCGCTCTGTTGCGCCAATCTAGCTACCTGTTGCCGTCGCCAAGTGCTTTCCAAAGTGCTATTCAATGCACTCCCTTGTGTAAAAACCGAGCCCGAGAACAATCCCCTTTTCAAGCAATCATCTACCATCTTCCGACACAACTCCTCTAGCGAGACCTTGCTTTCCGCTCCAATATCTCTCTGCTCGATTTCGGTAGTTACATTCAGGCCCATTCGCTGCAGCAGGAAACACAAGGCGATCGCCAATGTCTGCGTCGTCACTCCGAGCAACTGCCTTGAAACGTAATCGGCAGTGAATAGTCGGACGGGCTTGTTAAGTCGTTCATCGTCGTATACGTTTGCCAATCCGCCTTTGAATGCGGTAGCAATGTCCCTACACATCATAAAGAACTCTTGTATAGTGTGCAATCTCTTGATCAGAAATATGTCTTCGAGAACTTGTCGGATAGCCTTGTTGAAAATGGGCACTGACATCTCCTTGGCCTCGCGTATCTGATCCATCTTCTTCCAGTTCATCGGAATGTCCAAGGAGCTCAGGATAGCCACTAAGGCGTTACCTTCCATTTGCACTTTTTCAAACAAACCGTTGAAACCCATCAGCAACATCTGACCCGGTGTTAGACTTTCCTCCTGGTTCAAATCCTGAGCTTCCGCCTGTCGCGACAGTAACGCTTCAAATCGTAATCTTATGTTATTCACTATACTCTGTACTACCGCGTGCGGGCTCTCCATCTCCATCACGATGAATCGGAGATGCATCTCAAGCTGCGCCAGAATATCACCGAGCGGTATTCCGGTAAGTATTATAATTTCATCAAGTTCGCTTATCATTCGCATGACACTCGGCTCCTCCGTGACGATAGTCTTCATCGCTTCCGGTAATATGATAGTTTGGAAGTTGTAATTTAGATCCTGTAGACCCTTGTAAATACAATCGGCGCTTCTCAGGCACTTGAATATCAGTGCGATCTTGGGATCGGTGTTCGTCTTGTGGCTCTCCGGTATCAGCGTGATAAATTCAACAATCAACGATGACACCAGACGCATGTCGTCTAGGAACCAGTCTCCTTCGCGGGACGTAAGATCCACTAAGCAATCTCCGGCGCATTTGGCAGCGCCCTCCATCATCAAATATCGCATATTCAAGGAGCACAGCGCGGTGATATTGACGCATTCGAACGCTTTCTCCGCACCCTTTTCCCGCCGCAAAAATCCCGTAATTTGTGCTCTTGACTCAGCATACGCCTTCTCAATTCTATTTCCGGCTTCCGGCAAGCCTTGGGAGACTGTCCTCTCGTAAGCTTTCTTGTATCTCTCGCTAGACTCATTCAAGATCGCTTCCATCTGATACGAAAAGGTTATTATTTGCTGAACCTGCGGGTTGTTCGGATTGATTGGATTTAGACTCGCTTCGAATCGCGCCATGATTTCGTGACACGCCTCGATGGTACCCGTGGCTAACAGCTCACTGGCCCAAGTGTGATAGAGCACCGCACGGTGTTGCGACAGAATGCTTAGAGGGTACAGGTTACAGATGGCGGAATATTGGCTCAACAGCTCTAAACATTTGCTTATGGAGAAGGCCTGATCGGTAGCCAGTTGCATCAGCTCGTTCTCCGACTGCTCGCATTGTACTATCATCTGACTTTGTCCAGCGTTTTGCAGAAATTCCTTTACAAGATCGAACACTACGTGATCTTTTTGATTGGTCAAGTTTCCCAATTCCGCCAGCCACTGTCCCAGTTGGGAACCTCGTACTGCGGCTAGCGCGATCTAAAATAACGAATAACAATAAAATTATTATCATCGGAAGAAACAATACAATCGAAATATGATTTGCGGGAACGCTTTGCGAGTGATTCTTACATTATGCATATTTATCTGTTTCTCGCACTCCTCTATCCTCTCCTTTAAGCCTGCTTTAGCCTTCTCGTGAGAATCACGCGCTCGTTTGAACGAATTGTATCGCTTAACGAGCGAATATAACGCGTGATTCC